AGAGAGAGAGAGAGAGAGAGAAGGGGCGAGTGAGCGAGCGAGGCAGAGAGAGGCAGAGAGAGAGAGAGAGAGAGAGCAGCGATCAGCAGTGGTGCAGCGGCAGATCGCTCCCTCACTCGGCCGTCAGACGCAGAGGAATGATAATTAGAATGAGATTGACTCGGCAACAAGAAGACCAAGAAAAAGGTGGAGGAAGAGAAAAGGAGCCGGGCCTCCGTCAGCAGTAAGAGGAGGAACAGTGGAGAATACGCGAGGAGAGGGGGGAGAGAGGAAAAAAAGGATTGAAATTCCCCTCTTTTGGTCAAGAAGAACGAAGAAGAGAGGGGATTCGGGCGCTGCAGTGTAGGGTTATTTATGCATTTTTGGGGGGGACATGATGTTGACAGCAGCGGCGGCGGCGGCGGCAGTGGAGGAGTGAGTAGGGATCAATAATCCTCCCTCTCTCCTCCCCCCCACCCCCCTTCATCCCTCCATCACCTCTGCAGGAACCGCTGAAACCTGTGAGCTTCTGCTTTATTTTCTGGATACTGCAGTGTGTCTGTGTGCGCGTGTGCGTTTATGTGTGCGCGCGCCCGCGCGTTCATTTCAGGCCGAAGCGTTACTTCTTGGACGTGTGTGAACATGTATGTGCATGTCATGTGTGCGAGAAGTGTTTATGTGTGTGTGTATTTCATATGGTGTCTCTGTGTGTGTGTGTGTGTGTTCGCGCGCGCACGTGTGGGAGTGAACAGAGGAAAAAGTCCAAATGTGCTTGCCGTGAATCACACACATCATGAGATCAAAACGTGACATTTCTTGGTAGCAAAAGCACCGGAGTACTAGTGGGGAGATGGAGTACACGGTTTGAGTCTCTAAAATCCCGATTCTGCAACAACAGCCACCTCTCCGTTTTTTTTCTGTCTTACGGTTTGAATCCTCGAGCATCTTAATGACTGAATCTGAACTGCAGCAAAAAATGATATTGGACCACAAGAGGGCAACAAAAACAAGACTTACAGAAATACGCTGACTTTCATTACCAGGGACCGTTTCAAGGAACTGGATGTTTGTTTCTTCTAGTCTTATCGCTGCGGTGACGTTCGACAATTTTGCAGAAACACTCCTAAATGTATTTGGACTTTCTCGTGGCCTTATCGTTGAAAAGTCATCTTTAGAGCAGATGCTTTCATTTACTGACAGAACTGTGTGCTGCAAGTTTCACTTCTTAGTTCCTGAACTAGAACTCATCTAGGGCCCAGAATCATTTTCTCTCTGGTTCCTGTACTTGTCTGTGGTTTGTCCTACGAGATCCTGCTGCTGAAATACAGAAAGTTTCTGCTTCTAGTTCTGGCAGTTGCAGTAAACTTAGTTTATATTTGAATACTTGACTTGACTTGACATATCTTCCATGTCATGTCTACTGATTCTCCTCTAGACCACAACAGTCTGGTCAGATGTCAAGTGGGCCCGACCTGTACAGTCATAACATATTTACCTATAAATAACAATAAGTCCATGTTTTTCCCCTTTTGTTTTCACACAAAGGAGTACACGTTTCTTAGACAATCTTCATTTTCAATGAAATATCATTTTACATATAAGCATGAAGAATTTGCATGTAAGTGGCGCTTTGGCCCAGAGGTGATGTCTCTGTCATTGGTTTGGAACCCCAGGGTTCACTTCCTGGGCAAGATTGAATCCCAGTTAGGACGGTTGGTACCTTCCAGTGGACTCACCACCTACAGGAAGGTTCAGGGGGGGTTGGTACGGTGCAGTGTGATTGGCAGTCATAGAGACTGTTGCCCCTGCGACCCGGTAACGGATAAGCAGATGGATGGATGGAGTTTGGGCGTTGTTTTTTTTTCTTTAAAATTCATCAAGCGGGCCGGATTGAATCCACTAATGGGCCAGGTTTGACCCGCGGGCCGTATCTTTGACACCCCTGGTCTAGATGTTGTTATTCGTGACAGTAGTTTTTCTGACTCCACGGGTCTGTGTTCATCACGGAAACGAATGAAAGTTCTTTCAGAAGTGGTCGTCGCTCTGCTACAACAAGAGGTTCATCAGTTTGTTCTCCAGTCCTTCTATTCTTCTTACATTTTGTAAGAAGAATAGTCCTTAGATATATATATATATATATATATATATTATATAGACAAATGGAAGGAACCCAGAATACCCTGAGAAAACCTGCACACACCTGTGTTTAGCACTCTTTCACTGTGTGTTATTATAACAATTAGGGCTGTCAAACCATTAGAAATTCTTATCCAATCAGTCAAAGGGTAGTTGAGATAGTCATGAATAATCACAATGTATCGCGGTTAATTAATCAAAAAATAATTAACATTCCAATACAGTCATTGGATTTTATTCATTACTGTGCATCTTGATGATGATGATTTAACCAGCGCAGAGTTGTTTTCCAAACTCGGGTGAAGTCGTTGCTCAGTTTACATTCCCTTGCAATCTATGTCAGTTGTGTCAGTCAGCTTGTCAGCCACAGACTTACTTACTGCCTTATGTTCAGAAAGGCTGGTCTGATGCAAGCCTGGCATCAGACCTGTAGTTGAAGCCTCACATAGATGTTTTTTTTTAAGGCTGGAGGTGCATCGGAAACTCTTCCCCACAGCGTGTGCAAATAACGCAGCGTATATCGATTCTTATAACAATGATAAGTGGATGGAAAGTGGAATTACAGTGCGACGTTTCTGAAGATCACAAATTGATTGACAAGCTTTGTGTTGCCACTGATTTGCGATTGGTACTGTACTCTTTAGATTCAAATTGTCAAATTCCGCGGAGAGACTCGGAGGGGTTGTTGGTTTTAAAAAATGGTCAAATTGGCAGAAATGTGAAAATGAAAAGTATTTGTTCGCTTTTCAACAGGAGCCATATGACATCCTGTGTGTGAGTGTGTATGCCTGTGTGTGTGTTAAGTTAAGCTCTAGAAAGTAGAAGATAGAGTGGTATGTTGCTGCTTTAGCTAAAATTAAGCCTTGTTTGTTTGTTTTTTTAACATAAGGCCTGTGAATGTTTTTTGTTATTTTATTAGAATTCTAGTAGTAACAAGTGTGGTATAAAAAATATATTGCATTTTATTTTATTTAGGGATGTCCGATATTAACCTATATCCAAAATGTCGATATTGTCCAAACACTTAACTTCCACTTCCGATATCAACCAATACTGATATAGCATGGTCATAGGTTAAAGCAGTGTTTCTCAATTATTTTCTGCACCCCCTAATTTTTTATTTATTTTTTTGCCTGGTAACATTTATGTATTTATCTGTACAAACCGCTGTATGAGTTGCTGGCACCAACATCCCCCGATTATTAAAATAGACTAATAAAATGAGCTGCAATGCTGCCATCTAGTGACTTTCACTTTCATATACAGCCGTTTTTTCCCAAACCTTTTTTCAGGGCACACATCATATGCCCAACCTTTTTTCAGGGCACACATCATATGCCGAAACCCAGGCTTCGCGTGATCGGGTTTTCATTATCGGAGGAAAAAACCGAAAAAGATTCTTATAGATATTACATAATTATGCTAGTATCCGGTCGTTAATATCGGTCAGTCAATATTATCGGACATCCCTAGTTGTATTGTTATTTCATAGCTTTGGCAATAACTTTCCTCTCATTGACGTGTGCTCTTTTCTTTTACATGTGATGAACTCCACAAAGGATCTAGACCAGCCAATCAATGGGATGACAATTCAATGTAATGCCAAACCACTGATGGTGTCCAGGCAGTAAATAAATGCCTGGCATGAGACTGATCTTCAGTGTGAGGCTTCATCTGACCAGACAGCTGCAGGAGGCCCACCTGAGTCCTGCAGTTGAATCCATGGAACTGGTCGAGTTCCAGTCTTCCACCACCGTCCGAAGATGATCTTTTGTTGACGATCTCTGCTTTTGATTCGATATCTGAACCCTTTACGATCGAGAAGTTCTGGATTGAGTATTCGTCTTTATGTTTAGAAAACTCACTGGACTGTTTTAAATGAGGCCTCGGAAAGAAGCAGGTGACTGGTCGAGTACTCGTCAATGATGCTTCAGTGTGGTACTACCGCACCCCTGTACCCAGTGCTTATGTTCTCCATCTTTGATACAGAGGAACCAGTTAAGTCTTCAACAGCTTGGGTTCGCTCCTTTACTTCACCGGAACCAATATTTCCAACTTCTACATGGAGTACAGAGAGTGGATAGAACCAAGTCACTGACAAACAAACTGTGGAAGGCGGGAAAGACAATCTCTCTGTCCTTTAGTGTGGTTTTCCGTCGTCATGGGACAGGGCTGCGGCAGCGACAGCTCCTGATCCTCACCAGGGAATGTTTGATGACTCCGTAAATGCCTCTGATTGTTGTCCACAAGGGCAGGGCCCGTCCTGATCTTTGAATCAGCTGTTGAAGAGGAAGGAGGTTCTCTCCCCCCCACTCACCTCCGGTGGGGGGGAGGGTGAAGGAGTTTGACTATCGGTTGTAGCGTTTAGGACAGCATTTTGTAGACGTTTATTGATTTGAGTTTGTAGATTAGATCTTTCCAATCCTGAGTGTAGTTTTCAACATTTATTGAGTTAATCTGCGTATTGCCATCCCAGCTGATTCTTAGGCAGCATTTCACATAGGTCAGTTAGCTTCAGTGCTAACTGCTTCCAAAAGTGCTTGGATTACTAAGCTTTTTTTTTTCACATTTATTCTCAGCAATCTATAGCCACTTCCAAGTTCCAGTTAGCTCTTCTACTTACTCTTTGGCCAAGAGTCTGTCATGGATGCCAATCAAGGCCCGGGTCAGAGCAGTCCAGAAAGCCCTAACCGGGCTGTGGAGTACCTTCTCGAACTCAACAACATCATTGAGAGCCAGCAGAAGCTTTTAGAAACCCAGAGGCGTCGAATCGAGGAGCTGGAGATTCAACTGGATCGTCTGAGCCAAGAGAACAAGGACCTACGTTTGGACCGGCAACCAGTCGTTCCGCCGCCACCCGCTCCTCCTGAGCCACCGCTGCCTCCTCCTCCGCCACCACCTCCGCCCACTCAGACCACAACTTCTATGTCCACCAAGAACCACCACCACCATCACCAGAACAGCCAGCACCCAACTCCTCCCCAGCCTCCGTCCTCCATCCCACTCCACCACAGCCAGCACCACCATCACCAGCATCATCAGCATCATTATCAGCAGCAGCACCACCACCACTCCTCCTCCTCCTCCTCCGCCGCCCACCACTCCTACAACAGTACCAACAGCACCAGTGCCATCCCTGTCCCCGTTTCGACACCAACTTCTGCTCCCGCTTCTATTTCAATTCCGACCCAGATTCCGGCTCCAACGTCCTCCTCTGCGGCCCCAGCTCCACCTCCCCCTCCTCCAATACCACCCCGGGATCAGCCACGGGTCCACAGCCGGTTGTCCCGCGCATCCTCTACCAGCACCGGCACTAACACCAACTTTGTGGAGAAAGAGAGGGAGAGGCTGGAGCGGATGCACCGAGGCAGTGCCTCCAACAACCACCACGCCCACACCCTGCATCATCACAAAATGTAAGTTTCAACATTTCCTTACTGGTCTCTGACTTGTTTCTCTCCCAAAAGAGAGGATGATTCACGCTTTTAATTCCGTCTGGTACGTCTTCAGAAATTGAGAAGATGTTCTGTGCTACATGGTTAGGGTTTAGGTTTTACCAATATTGGTACCGAGCTATAAGTAACCCCATCAGTTGTTTTTTTTTTTTTTTTGTTTTGCGATGAGATTTAAAGGAATGGATATTTTTCTTCATTTTTTTCCCCCTTTGCTTATTCCTTTCTGTTTTGGTTCATCTGAGCACCACAGCAAGCCTAGCCCAAACACTCTCATTTGTTGAGATTGGCTTAGGACTAGCATGACAACATGCTAGGACTAGAACGACAACATGCTAGGACTAGCACGACAACATGCTAGGACTAGCACGACAACATGCTAGTCCTAAGCCAGTTTGAATCAACTTCCCATCCTTCCTTTTCTGTGTCTGTATTAAGAGTGATTGAGCAACTGACTTTAAAAAAAAAAAAAGAAAAATAACAAAAAAGTCTGCATTTAAATGGGATAAGGTTATAGTTTAATTTAAATTAATGTTTTAATGTAATAGTAGTTCCTTATACTAATATTTAAATGGGAAAATGATGGGGGGAAAAAAGAAGTAGGTTTTTTTTATGGCTTTAAAAGTATCCCCATCTGACTATAGGAACAGTGCAGGAAGTTTCTTGATCGATTTGCGTTTTATTCTTTTTAATGAAGGTGTTTGATCTTAATCTCTCACCTCAGTAGTTACTGATTCTTGCCTATGTATCAGTTCTTTACCAAACCGGTCTCTGATCCATTCATTCTCACTTTGAAGCTGGTTTTATTGTGAATTCCTTCTACTTAAAAACCCAAACTTAAACCACAGGGTCAGATTAAAGTCATCATTCTCAGGTCCGCCTGAACTTGTGTTGATCTTTGCCTTTCGTTGCTACTTACTTCGCAGCTTCTGCCACGGAGGAATTTATGAGTACCTAGCATTCTAGGAAGCTGAATTTGCTTCGCTTTTCTATGTTATTTTTGACCATT